AGGAGCCCAGCGACAGGCCACGGCGGACCACATAAAGGCAAGAATTATTATAATGTGATTATTATTATGATTATGCGATCGTTATCGTAAATAATTTTCAATGCTTCGCATGTGCTTCGACTACAATTTGCCCCCTTTTTCTCTTCTCACTCTCCACACCATTTCCGCCTGCTTATGGAAATCCGTTTTGGCTTTTCTTTTCGCCGTCGTCTTGGCCACGTTTATGACAAAAACATGAAAATGTAACTATCGGCCAGCGAAATTATCACATACTAAGTCAGCTACTTAGGACATTTTGCCCTATGCAGCAGTTCATAAAGCAAAATGCAAAATGAGCAAAAGAAAGCTCATCATCATTTTCGCCACGATTTCAAGAGCTAAAAAACTATGGAAATGCAAATTAGATGAAAATGCGAGACACAAAGAAATGCGGTTGGATAAAACGGCAAAAGTTGTCTATACGGTATGGTGAACATTAAGATTGTAACGTAAAGTTATGGAGGGGAAATAGAGCAGGATATATATGTGACAGGATAAGTGAAACTTTTTGAAATTGTCTGTTGTTTAAAACGACTTTATGCTTTGAATAGGGTTTGCAATATTAGAGTACAATCAAAAGGATTTCCCTTAAATTTGGAGTCTTCTAAAATTAAATATTTAATAACTTTCTAAATTACCTTTAACGTAACGTTTTTTTTTTTTTTGATTTTATTGTAAATTTTAAAATTCACATAATCTTTTTCTTTTGTAGTAGTTACAAATTTTACATTTACACAAATATTGCCATAAAAGTGATTTAACTGAAATGTTGTCGGCGCAAAAATTGATATTTCAGTTTTTGGCCTAATTAGTGGCGAGCGCGCTGACAACTGAAATGAACTGCTAATTAAGGCTAATAACCTAATAAGCGAGTTATCAACCGCCGGATTCATTACCGCTGGCATTCAAATGCTGCACATAATTGCGGAAATCATTATTCAAACTGTTGCAACTTCGAAATGTATATGTACATGGAATTATTTACATACATACAATTTCAGAAATTAAATAAAGGATATATAATTTTACAAACTTTCTATATAGCAAATAGAATTAAATCTCAGCTTCTTATCTGTTGTAGTTGCTCTTTCTTGGTGCAATCTCTGGGTCCTTTGCTTGTCGCCTTTACTGACAGTTAACGCAGAGCGAGAAAAATATTTCAGTTTCACATGAAGCGGAAAAATGGCGAAAATAGATAGCAAAGGAGTACGACCTCCGGCCCTGGCTCAGAGGTGGTAGAAAATACGCAAGCAAGGCGAAGCAGCGAGGCAGCATCAACTAATCGCCTAATGGTCACTTTGCAGATAATTACCAAGGCTTATAGTTGCTTGTAGGATTATGGGGCGCGGCGAAACGGAAGCCTCGGACCAGGACGAACACGAGACAGTCGTGGCAGGACAGCTTCAAATGCGGACAGGACAGCTGAATTCGGCCAGCAAATGGGAGTCGAAGGACGAAGGAGTAAGCAGGGGCTTTTGGCATTCGCGCATGCAACAAGCTCACATCTCAAAGGGTCATAACTTAGAATAGAAAAGCTATGGGAAACACTGGAAACAAAATGGTAGTATAAAAAGTAACACAAATAAATAATTTCTAACTAAAAGGTTATAACTACAAAGATTTTTGTTTTATTGATTATAATTAAGTGATCTAATTTTTGTATAGAAAGTTGTTTCATAAATATTTTTAAATTTTTTCTAAATTATGTTTGTTTTTTTTTAATTTTTATCATAGGAATACACTATAGATACACATTAAATTTTTTTTAAATTTATTGTTATACATACTCTTATTATCTGTCTGTTTTGTTTTTTTCTCTGTAACCCTAATTGGATTATACACTTTTTTGCACAAGTGTACATTAGGAAGAGCAAAGGCATTGCCTTTGCAAAAAAAAAAAAAAAGGAAATCAGGATAGAGGAAATGTTAAGGAGCTGCTGAACATAAAGCCTTTGCCAGAAAGAATGTCCGGGAATGGGTGTAAATGAGAGAGGAGGAGCCCTCGAAGTGCGAACGAAGTGTTTAGGCCAGCTTTGCCATCCTCTATCCTTCTGCTATTCCCTCTCCAGGGACATCTGCCAATCTGTAAGGAACTAGACTCAATTAGGTCACATTAGGATTTGCGTGGTTTAATTAACTCAAATTGGTTGCACGGACTGCAAACACCGATTCGGGCACAGTGTGTCCCCGCCTTTGACAAAATCTATTTCCATTTCCTCATCGCAGAAGAAGACTGAAGGGGAAAATTGGGTTATCTTTCTGTGGCATTGGAGACAGAAGATGGTTACGTAAGATTTGCGAGGTATTGGTCAGGGCATTACATAGAAATTGGCTTAAACATGTGCCAGAGGATTATTTTAACAATACTTTAAGCATATTTGAGAATTACTAAATACCTAATCAAAGTGAATAAAAATATATTAAAAAGAAAATTCTCTCTTTAGCACTGAAAGAACATATACTTAAAGTAAAGATTTTCCCAAGAATATAGCTCCTGTTGTTGAAATACTTGCAAAAATTAAACTTAAACGTTATTCTGCGAAGGCAGACATCAAAGGACCAATTTCTTAAAATGCTCCCTTTAAATTATATATGGTCCAAGCCATCGACTTTCGTTTACCGTTTTTGCCTATAATAAAAGGAGTTTCTTGTTGCCAACTTTTATTTATTTTTGTTCGCTTTTTTTTGCGATTGCACGTGGCTAAAAGGTGGGTTCAACGGCAGCAACAAAGGCACCACCGAAAAACTACTCGAGAAACAACCGGGCAAAGTGGACTTGAAAAAGTTGGAGCACTTGAGCGTCGTCAGCATGTGTAATAAAGGTTATTTATGTATATTTTACCGCCGCCCTCCGTTGCACCGGAAAAGCCCACCCACTCGAGAGTCTTGAGAGCTCTGGCCTGGTCCGGCCCGAGATTTATTTCGGCCATCTAGCTTAGCAATTAGACGAATGAAAAGTTTGTGCTACTGCCGCTCATATAAATGCTAATTTGGAAGAACAAAAAAAATACGACAAAAAACTGCCGAAATTGCAATTTGGACTGCAGCTCATTACGCGAAAGGAGGAAAATAAATTAAAATTCAAAAGGTGACACGGCATTAAGCTCAAGCTGCCAAGCACCTTGTGCCAAAGTGTCGAAACGGAAGTAATAAGTGATAAAACGGAAGCACAAAGACAAGCAGGCGACAGCGGTGGAGGAGAAGGCCAAGATGGAGGAGTGGGAGATCGAGGTGGGGGTGGGGCAACGCCTCCACACCGGATGCGCCATGCAGCGCTAGAAAACTATTGTCAAAGCTAATCTCAAAAAAAAAAAGAGGAAATAATAAGCTAAAGCCAAGTGGTCCGACTTAACGATACCCGGTTTTAAAGATTTCTGATCTTTTTAATGAAAACATGTAAAAATATTTTCATATTTTACTGATAAAATTTCACCATATCGCTTCCTTTTAAATTGTATTTAAATAATTTATATTATACCTCCTTTTTCAACTATAATATCTTACACGTCAAACAACGATAAAAAAAAATACTTCTAGATAAAGTTCGATATATTAAACGTACTAATCGATAGCCTATAAGAATGTATCAACGATATCTAAGTCAAATATCTGGGTGAATTTTCTTATTATGTTTTTAAAACAGGAAAAACCCCAGTTAAGAGCTTTTAATAAGAGAAAATTAAAAGAGTCAAAGGGAACTATGCAGGGAACACCTTCATAGATTCCTAAAGGCTTCAAATTTCCCTGTGGCATATACAACGCGAATACAATATGGCCCCCGTGGTCTATGAGTACCGGGTATAACAATAGGAAGCCAAAAACTTGGAGGGGCGAGCTGAAGAGGTGGCAAATTGACATGCAGCAATCGACCTTTATTAAAAAGTTTTTTTTTTCGCCAACCGCCAAACCAACCAGGAAACCACAAAAAAAAAGACAGAGCGGGCCCCAAGACGCAATATATATGGGAAAACTTCCACTCACTTTTCCAGCAACCCCAACCCCGATCCCTGCGGAAAACACATCTGAGGGTGACCCCTCGGGGCACCGCTGGCAAACCAATAGAAAAATGTTTGTTTGTGGCAGCATCAGGAGTCGAAGCAGCCGTAGCAGCAGCAGTTGACGCTGTTGTCCTTCTCGTAAAAAAAGTAGGAAGAGGGAACCCGGAGAACCAGGACCCCAAGCGATGACAATAGCTTATTGACAGATTATTCAACTGTTGGCACATATTGCCGCCATAGTTTGGCACCATCGGGCACTGGCAGCAACAACACAGGGCACAGGGCCAACAAATCAACCGGCAACATCCAACAAATCGACAAGCGGTTCAAGCAAATAATTAAAAAAGTTGCCAATATTAAAACTGAGCCATCAGGAACCCTAGCAGAGTTTCTCAGGGGTGAAGACTGAAGATTAAATGGTTGGCAGTCTTCACACGAAGTCCTTCAAATGGCCTTTTCAAGGTTGGAAAGTTGCTAGTGAATTGGTAAAAGTACTTCCAAAAAATCATTTGCTAAGTGCCATAAATAAAACTAAAGGAATATTTAAATTAAGTCATGTTTAAACCATGTATTTTCGATGAAAAAATTAAGGTAAGTGTAACTAACGAGGTTTTAAATTGAAGGATATATTGAAAAAGTCTAGCTTATTTTTCCCGTATTATTTAAAGCTCTGACTTTAAATGTACTTAATCATACTCAAATAAAAAATATTCGCAAGAGATGACAAAGACTCATTAAATCAGTGATAAGGTGCAATTCAAGAAGAAAGGAACCGAATGTGATTCAACGATTATATCTTTTAGAGATAAGAAACGCGTATGAAAACCCGGCCGCAGTCCACCAATTGCTCATTAGTGGGTTAATACCTTTCAGAGCTAAACATAAATCGAGTTATTTTCATTATAATTTTGTGACTTTTGTGAACACATCTATCTCAGCAAGTCTAGAATATACATTATTAAAATGGCACAATCCGACGACTCGATATGGGGCACTAGCAAAGCTGAGCCAAGTGTGGAGAAAATGGTACCAGCTCGCCGTGCCTCCGAGTATAATATGAAACATAAAAATCGCGGCCAGGCTTTGATCTTCAACCAAATGCACTATGATGACGAGACAGCCTGTGCAGGAGCAGAAGTGGATTCCAATAACCTTGAACGGGAGCTTAAGCGACTCGACTTCCATGTATCCGTTTATGAGGACTATCGCTATGAGCAGATCCAGCAGACGATCAATGAAGTGGCAGCACAAGATCATAGCGACAGTGACTGCATTCTGGTGGCTGTGCTCTCCCACGGCGAACAGGGCCACATCAGCGCCGAGGACCCTGTAGAGTACATCTGGAATCCCTTCACATCCGATAATTGCCCATCCTTGGCCGGCAAACCCAAATTGTTCTTTATCCAAACCTCCCAGGGCACGAGATTGATGGAAGGAACCGCATTGAAGTTCTATTCCCTTGAGTCGGATGTTGACTTTTTGATCGCATACTCCACGATCTCTGGATTCTTTTGGCGTAACACGAAAAAGGGCTCAGTTTTCATCCAGAGTCTGTGCGCCGAACTGGAGGAGAATGGCAAGCTGCTGGACTTGCTTACTCTGCTCACCTTTGTCTGCCAGCGGGTCACCAATTTCGAGTCTCACCCACCGGATAATGGCATGCAGCAAATATCTTGCATCGCCACAACGCTGACCCGTATTTTGCGATTCGAAGACAAGTAGATAATCCACTTTACGAAAATTTTTATCATTTTAAATACCATATTTCTGTGTTTAAATTAAAATAAAACAAATATAAAATTGGTTGAATTAAATATACAAATTTCTTTAATAATTTAAATGTCGTATAATTTTAGATATAATGTATGAACTTTCCAAGTAGAAGTAGTTATTGTAAAAAAAATATATTTATGGGATTCCCTAAATTCGTATATTACGGTGGTAAATAATAATATGACAATAATAATAAATAAATCCGTTTCTTAGGCTTTTAAGATAAGATAGGTTAGATACATGTATCAGTGATTACTTTGTTTTCACACTTTAGATTATTCTTAATCTTATCTCATTTTTCGGAGCTCAAAATATCTCGTTTTCCCCGAACTTAACAAAAAATATGTTACCCTAGTCTACACTGCGTATGAGTAATATATTACGAGTAAAGTAATTAACAAGTAACTAAACTGATACTATTAAAAATCAATTATCTACAAATTTACTATTTATCTTACGATATTTCGAAGTCGTTAAACCATTTTCAAGTTGTTAAAATTCCGTAAAAGAATTTATTTGTTATTTTTCCAAAGCAATTTGTTTTTGGTGCTATAATCGGTCAAATTCTGTGGCTAGAGACATGAACTGCTCTGCCGCTCAGCTGGCCCCAGGGAAAGTGTCTGTCTGTTTATTGAACCCTGTGTCTTGGTCTCGCTGGCATGTGAACCCATATTCCACCCTCTATGCCCCCGGAGGAATCTCCCAGAAACACACACACTCCAGACGATGCATTCAACTGCTTTATTGCTTCTCCGTGTAAAAGTTTTTTTCTATAAAACACAATATATTTTGGTACACATAAAAGTATATGAGATATATTCAATCGCTGATTATTTAAAGACCCTAGTTGAATACTCTGATTTGGAAATTATATATATTTATCTTATTAGTGAAATTAAATTAGTAAAATGAATTTACTATGATTATCTTATGATTGCAGTTTTAAATTTTTCATATTTTTAAAGGGTATTAAAATCTCATACTAATCGTATATTTTGGCACTATCCTTGTGGGAGTGAATTCTATAAGTGTGTGGGGAATATATACATATATATCGTCGATTGTTTTGGCATATTGCGCAATATTGGCTGGGGCAACGTGGGATCCATCTGCTGCTGTTGAGTCCTTCATCTTTCCGGGCACTTGACGTATACTTAATATGCAGCTGCAACTCAAACAATCAGCCGCTGACACAGAGCTACCCTAAAAGTAAGCTCTCTGAGGGAAGGCTATCTCCATTTCCATTTCCATTTGCATTTTCACCGTGCTCCACCACCGGCAGTCACTTTGCAATCCGGGACTGATTCATGAGCCAAATCTAATAAGCATTAGGCAAGAAGAGTATAGTATATCCCAGGCTCCTCCAGCGACCTTCCTTCTGCTTCTCATTCTTCTCCTTCTCCTGCCGAATGGGTTTAGGAACCACAAAAGCCCAAAGAGCAAATGCACAAAACCAAAAAACCCAATGGAAGACAACAACAAGAGAAAAACCGAAAATAAATGAAGGAAATTCAAACAGTTTTCCAAGAGAGAGTTTGCCAAAAACCGTTTTCTTCTGACCAGCAAACACACACATACACACGTAGAAAAAATGAAGAAAATTCGAATGAGACAGAGGGTGTGGGAGTGGGAGTGGGGAGTGGAACGAGTGAACCAGTGAAAAACAAATCAAGTTGAAGTTTTCTCATTTCCATAACTAATGCAAAAATCCAATTTCTTATGCAAACATAAAATTTTCCACTCGCAATGGGCTGGCCGCCACCACCAGCAATGGGGAACAGCGGGTGGCACCGGCAATAGCGGTGGGAGCCACCATGCATGCATACTATAAAATTCAGGTCAAGCAAACCATAAAATCATTCATCATTTTCGTGTAAGTGTTGGGCTCTACACACGTACAAACACAAAACACACACACACTCATAGGAATCCTTGCCGTCCGTGAGAATGTGTGTGGGCGCTGCTGAGCTGTGTTGTGGTGGCTTTAAAAAAACGGCCGACGTTCGCATTTTCACAATAAAAATCAAAAAGCGAAAATACTCCCCCAAGAAGACCCAACCCAAATATTTTTATACACGATACACAAATAGAAAACAAAATAATAATAATAATAATAATAATAATAATAATAATAATAATAATAATAATAATAATAATGAAGGCTCTCTGAGACTGCAAAAGCGAGACAGGTGACAAGGGCCTAGATATACACACTTACTCACATCCGCACATAATTTGCATACACTGGAGGAAAACAATCGATCATTACAAGTATAATAAAAATATGTGTTGCTTAAATATATATTTTGAAGTCCAGAAGTTTATTTAATAAAATAAACTTGAACTTTAGCAGAAACCTAGCTGATACAAATAATATTTAAGGTCTTATTATAGACTTGTAGTGTCGTCCCATAAAATACAGAAACAAATCTTATAAAAATATGTAAATATTAAATATTAAGAAAACCATTTTAAGTTCGATTTTAAATCACTTAATTATATTTAAAGTGTAAAGTAAATATATCGGGAAGGAGGCAAGGGATAAGTGTCAAAAAAATTTGGCAATGCGTCGCTTTCCCTTCCCAAATTCCTTTTTTTTTTGTATTTTGCTCAAGCCCATTTTTTATGCATCGTGAATTGTTGTTGCTGTTGTTGTGTGTGGGTGTGTGTGTGTGCGTGTGTTTGTTTTAATGGTAAATAGGGCCCACACACCCCTACAGTCCGTTTTCCCCCCTCCAATTTCCCATCCCCTTAGACCTTGTCTTTGCCTGCGTAGGCAATTTAAGCTTTGCTGACTCGACCGCCAAGGAAATTTTTTCATCTCTGTCCCTCCTATTTTATTTTTTATTTCTCAAGAACCCCCACAAACACACAAAACATTTATTTAAAAGAATTTATTGTTGTCTACCTCAGAGCATAGATAAAATAGAAGAAGTAGCCTGAAGTGGGAGCATAATAAAAGTTCAATTTAAATTCGTTTAGAATTCTTCGTTCCTTTTTTTTTTTTGTACATTTTTGCTATCTTAATTGCCGTCAATATTGCCCACAAATCAAATAAATTATACTCGAACTGAGGAATCGCCCATCTATACAAGTAAATTGAAAATTGCCTTTTTGTCAATTTAAATAAATCTAAGAAAAGTCCCAAAAGAGAGGAAATTTAGAGAAAGCCATTGGCCTTCTATTGTCCCAGTTTATGTATTTTCTTTTTTTAAATTCTCAGAAAACCCAAAGTGATTTTTGGTTTAAAAAAGAAAATTTGAATGAATAAGTTATAATTGAATACTATATATTTATTTCAATTAAAAATTTCAGTTGAAAGTCCTTGCCCAACTGGACTCCTCTCATACTCAATGATAAACTCTTGACTCTTGAAACCCAAAGGCTTCAACTAATTACGAAATGAAAGTCAAATAATTCGATCATTGGGAAAATTGCAACCAAACAAACTTATCAACTTTCGAGCGAGGTTATGTGGAAAGTCCGCCAGCAAAAATCGCCCAGCCAATCGCACAATGAACCAATTTAGGTTAGAGTTTTCTATGTTCACACACACACACACACACGCAGACTTGCCTGCAAGTTGATAACTTAATTTTTTAGCATCAACACTAACGGAAGTTGTTCGATGATGTGATATATACTTTTTCCTTTCACCCCATCTATGTATGTGGCCACTAATTTGGTCAATTGCAACCCCACCAGCCAGGCTCTCCATGGCCTCCATCGACTCCATTCTGGCACCCGGCAAGTAATTTATTTCCCTTTGGCAGCACTTTCACGAGAATGGAGCTGATGATGCCCACCATGCTAATCAAGGGCGAAAATGTCGTACAATAATTTATTATAGTTTTGCTAACCGCTAACCGCCGAGCAAGACACAGAGCACGAGTCTCCCCCGGAAAATATCCCTTATTCCCAGCCCAGCTCTCCTCGTCCCCCTACAACTCCACCTCCTGCACCCATTGTGTGTTGGGGCAAAAATTAATTGAATTTTTGTACCACAAATTCTTGAGCATTTTCTCGGCCTGGCATTTTCTGTTTAATTGCTGCCATCAGCGTGGCGGTTAAATTTTAGAACCCAAGAGCTGGAATTAGGGATGACAGAATATATTGAAATATCGGAGTAGAATTTATATTAGATCGATTAGGTATTAGTTTTAATTAAATTATATTTTAATAGACTTTCTTGAGTAAATGGAAATTTTACTTTTAATCAAACTAGAAATATACCATTATTCTATGTATTGAAGTTCACCTATCACCTTTTGCTTAAAATATCGACAAAATATTGATTTAGTTATATTTTCTGTCATTCCCAATCCTAAGCCTTTAAAACGACCACAAACTTTAATAGATATTTTAACAAATAACACGATTCTCCTTTATATTAAAAATATATAGAAATTTATAGCAATAATAGTCTTAACACAAACTATTTCTTTACGTTTCACATCCCTAATTAGAAGTAGCCAGGCAACCCAAGGCCTTGTGTCGGTTATTGTCCTTGCAGCTCACTCGACAGTCCCCGCCCACAACTCTTCATATTTAAAACGCATTTTTGCTATCAGAACACCCGCCCGCCCCGACCTAGTATCCTTATCATAGTTGCGGTTACTGGGGTAGGGCAGGGACTGGTTGTCTTGGGGGAAAGGTCCTTCCTTGGGTGGCTGAAGGAACAGGAGCCTTGGCTGCTTGGCTTTGCCTTGCGGTTAGGGCCGTCGGCAATCAAAGCAATTGCTTCTGCTGCTCAGGCCCCCTTTTTCTCTAATAAAATAATTGAATTGCGGCCATGTGGTAATATCTCTCCACTTCAAAGCCAATGAGCCAAATGCAATTAACCAGCAGGATCGAATAGAATGTATCAAGTGAGTCGCTGCAAACATAATTTAGATTGGAGGCTCTAGTCAACTGGAATTTTTATTTAATATTCATAAGGGAAAGGGAGAAGAGAGACTATCTAGGATTTAAGAAGTAATATTTGTAAGCAGACAACAAACAAGGCATAAGAAATTATTATTATAATTTGACTATTACTTAGGAAGGCAATAAAGTGATTTTACTTTAAATTTTTCCCTCTTCCCTAAGTGAAAAAACCGTTGAATTTCCATCAATTACCAGGGTTCTATCGAATTGCTAACTACCAAAGTACAGTCTCATCCTTGGCGCTCCATTTTGAAGTACTACAAAATTGGTATGAGAAGTTCTGCGGCGACGTAAAGGAGGATTCAAAGAAATCCAAAGTCTGAAGCCTGAAGACTACAACAAAGTCTTTGCTGTCGTCGACGCTGATGCTCCACTTTACGCATATGCAAAATATTTAAGTGCAGCCGGCAAAGAGCAAAGCAAAGCCTCAAACACACACTCGACAGGAATCCGGCAGCCCCCAGCCTACGATTCCACCTTATTGCAACCCAAAAGCCTCGTCTTTCCATATACACAAAGAGAAAAATAGGACATAATATTAGAAATTTCAGAATTAGTTATTAATATTATTTTAGATAATTCCAGAAGTTTAAATTTGAATATTTTTAAACTTAAAATTTATACAAAAAATAATATTTAAAACGTAAATAATACCTACGAATTTCAAGAGTTTACTTGACATTTTTCTACGTGCAAAGCCACATCAAACCATCTGAGGCAGACCCAATTGCAACCACGCACTCAAAAATGTTAACCGTCTTATTTTTGCCACGTTGATGATGACGGCGCTACCTTCTACCTTCTGCCACCCTGCCTCCAAAAACTCTACCACCTCCTTTTGGGTGAATGCAACACACACACACACATACTTCGAGTGCTGCACAAACATTTGCACAGTGAAACGAGGCGAATGGTGGAAAAGGGGTTGAGCGACGCCTAAATGTATGCAGCATATAATTATTGATGGAGTGTGAGCGTTAGAGCAGGCCTGAAAATGATGAGTATACTCAAGGGTTGGGGGATGAGGGGGAATGCTAGTATGCAGACTCCCTGCTAGTTAATGTTGTTAGCAGGTGCTCGAGACATTTGCATATGTTTGTGGTTCATTGCAAGTGCGAATCCATTAACATCAAGTGAAGCATTAGATGGAAAGCACTAAGAGAAATGAGTAGCTATGACAAAAGCTAAGTTTATAAATATTAAATAAATTTTTTAAAGGTAAATGAATTTAATAATTATTAGAAAAAAATTAATAAATATAAATAAAAAGCTTAAATCAAGACATAATTATATGAGAGATCACTAAGCTAATGATCGTACTTCAACTTATCTGAAAGCATTGCAATTTATACAAAAACCCAGCGACGTTCTTTACATTTTCCTTTGAAAATTCCAAATTATTTGTAAAGTGTACAGAATTTCTGGCCAGATACTAGTAGGAACCATGTTTTGGGCATGTGAAGGACCAAGATGAAGAGCTTTTGAGTAAAGGGGGAGATTCTTAAGTACCCCCAGATGCCTGGTTATAATTTTCTCATTAGTCAGCCAAAGAATTTCTATATACCGCAGAGGCAATAAATCCAAAGAATCCTGAGAAAAAAAATGGGAGCGCAAAAAAAAGAAAAAGAATTCCTAAGAAATTCTACAGACGGCAACGGAAATTGAGCGGGAATGTGAGGAGAGAGCAGATGGAGAAAAAAGTCAATATAAGGAAATTAATTTCCAAAGTCCAGGAACCAGGCTAGGGCCACCAGGGGGGGAGGAAGGGGAGCAGACAATCTTAAGGATTGGCGACCAACACATAAAATTCAATTAACCCGCAAACACACACACACTGGCACATACACAGAAATCAGAGAGGGGCGCTGATGGTATCCTGAGGGGAGTACAACCCCTGGCACTTGTCAGCTAACTTGAAGGAGTTACATGGACTTACACACACTGCCACACACTCCTACCCCCTTACTAACACACACATAAAAGCAATTGAAAGAACATGCGAAAAACAATAAAAAGAAATTAAGGTAAAGTAGCCAGCAAGCACGGAAGGGAGGGAGGGGGACAGACCAGTGGAAAAGGAATCATTGAATCATTTAATTAGCGTTTAGATTGCACACACACACACATACACCACACTAATGCACAGGCAGCTTATTGAATATGTAAGCATGTATGGGTGACAGGGGAAAAGACCATTTTCAATTAGTTTGCCAACCAATTTATGCGGCTACTACAAGAAACGAGCCAAAATAATGAAGGAAAGAGGATAACATAGCCTGTAAGTATGTATGTATGTGTGGTATCCTGCGAGGAGAGGTGTGTGAGTGAGTGTGTTGTGGTAGCTAGTGAAATACAGTCACTGCTTTCGTCACATTTTCAGTTAAAGAAAAGCGAGACCAGGCCAGACCAAGCATCAGAAAAAAAAGGACCGAAACTGGCCAGAAACAGAGCAAAAGAGGCCCGGCTCAGGACACACTCTTTCTCTTGGTAGCCTGAAAAGGATGAAAACCACAAAAACGGTTGCCCGGAGGGCGGCACATAAAAAAATAAAATCGTGGCTTACTTAAAGAAAAGTAATTAAAAAATAATTATAATATATGTAAAAATTATATGTCTGAATTCATATGAAATGTATGTCTAAATATCTCTTAATATTATTTATTATATTCGATCCTGCCTCGTTTCTTTCAGTGCCCTCTGTTGGCCCACTAGCAGCGTGGAACTGTAGCTCCGCTCGCAACCAAAACCACAACAAGCCAAATAAAATGTGTTCGCCTTTCTTTGGCTCGGCTCTCTTTTTTATGTGGATAAAAAAAATATATATATTATATATACACACGTTCATGTACATTTTCTTTCTGTTCTTCTCCCAGCGAGGAGCTAGCCAGATAAAGTAGAGGAGAAACATACTATAGGGGGAATGGAGGGACAAACACAAAGTAGCCGCGAGCATTTCACAAAAGAGTAAAAATTATTGATTTATTTGCTATGGTTTTATTAACCACCCACACACAGGAGGTCCTGCTGATAATTTTTGCAGGAACCGCAAATGAACAGAAACCCAGACAGACATCCTTTAACAATTATTATTCAATATTTACAGACAGATTTACATATGTGCGTGTACTATCGAGATTAATGACGTAGAAAATTTAAGTTTAATTTGTCGGAAAATTTCAGAAAAATTCACCTGATTTTGATCTTTTATGTGAAAGAAAATGGTGAAAAAGAAAGAAACCCTCTTTAAATGAAATGAATTATGGCAATCATTTTTCAGAAGCAGGTATTAATATTTTTTGATGCAAGAACTTTATATTTCCAATATCAAAAGATATTAAATTAATTATTACAATGTAAATAATTATGAAAAATAATTCATTTTGTTATATTTAAGACAATTAAGTGTCAATACCCCCCCCACATAAGACGAAATAATCCTTATTTAAAATAGTGTAAAAATATATTTACATTAATTACGATGCCATAACAGTCACTCTTTAGAAATCCATCCCCGAGGAGAAATTAATCTGAAATGAAATAAAACTGAATTCGCGATTGATTTGTGCTGCACATAAACCAAAAGACAAAAAAGGTAAAAAGTAATTTATATATTTATATACTGGCCTCATGTACAATAGATATGGAATATGTAAAATGCAAAAGCAGAGATATACAAAAAGCCAATCATATGGCGATGGCTACACATAATAAATAATGTCAACACTTACGACCCGGACTGGCTTTGAGTCCCTCGATGTTGATGGGTGGCAAATCATATATATACACAGTATTATATATGCATTGCCTGGTCAATTGAAATGGAATTGGATTCTGTCAGGGCACATATCGATAGTGTTCTGTGTCCCGGGATGAATCGCTGGGGAATAAGAGTTCTGGGATTCCAATTCATCGTTGTCATCGCATCGCAGTTGAATGACACAAATTTGTATTGCCTTTTCAAGGAATATTAATAAGCGTACCTCAACTACTGCGAAATTGACCAGTACGTCGGGTCAAAGTCCTATGCACCCCCAATAGTTATATATTTATGCCTATGGAGTGCGTGTTCAGCAGACCAAACCGCAGACAATAATGTACCATAATTATATAATAGAGCTATTACCTGAACACAAAATTGCCTTCGTCAAAGCACCAAGGCCCAGCCTTTGACCATAGCTTTTTCTTTTTGCTTTCTTTATTTTTGTTTTTGTTGCTCCTTTTTTCCTGCCTTTTGAAAAATTTACTTGATGGGTTTTCGATGCGAATTATGGTCTAGAGATGCGGTAGGCCGAAATGCAACCCCCTAAGCCAAAAAAAAAAAAAAGAGAAAAACGGGACGGGAAAAAGCGCAGAGTAGACTTGGAGCCAAAAACTGTCACAGCAAATATCTTTCGACATCCCATCCGAAATGTGCCGGAATCAGTCAGACGTAGCTTAAGAGGTTCCCCCAAACACACACACACACACATACATCGAAAAAGGACTTGGGGCCAGGACACGGCCCAGATGAAGGCAAAAGACCGCACTAAAGCTATTTTAACAAGGAAAGGGACTGGAAACAACAACAGCAGCGGCAGCATTGAAGAAAAAGGGGCAAAAAAGAAACTCCATTTACGCTTGCTTAGTTCCTTTTAGTATAAAGTTTAAGCTTAATCCAGCATAAAATCAACTGGTAAATTTTTTATGTCCCCCCTGCCCGATGTCGATTGGCCCATCAAAAAGATTAAAGAGTTAAATGTTATACCCGTAGTGCCGAGCCTAAAACTATATATATGTATATATTCGCCTGGAATATTCATGCAATCTCTCTTTCTGTTGCTTTATTTTTTTATCACTCTATGCAACTGAATGGCATAATAAGCCTGTTATGATGAAAAGGACATCTGATTTAATCAATTGGCTTACAATAAATTTGTCGATGGCAACACGCTCTGGTATGGGTATAAGTTACAAAAGGCACTGCAAGAAAAATATTTATAATTAGAGGGAATTTTTAAAACCTTTTAGGTTTAATTATGTTTATTAAAAAAATAATTTGGCGTATAAATAAACGAGGAAATATTAACAAAATAAAAAGTTGATTCTGTGCCTCTCAGTTTCATAGAAATAAATAGTTTCTCACTCTTAAAATTCGTTATAACCCTTGGTAAATATTCTTGTCAAGTGCCTATATCAGTTCCGTATGACCCTATCTATGAATATTTTTTTAAAAGCTTGTAATTTACAAATTGAAAAGTACACCACTCCATAGAATCTTGCACTTGAACTCTCCCTAAACTAAAAACAAAGCTTAACATAATATTTCAGTGCACGCAATGGACACATGCATATGGTTCTTACCTGAGCCCTGATCCGGAATCTGGTTCTGGTTCTGATTCTGATTCTGATTCTGGCTCCACCTCCAATGACCAGGTGCGGGTGCGTGCAGCAGATGGCGGAAGCACGTCTGCCGGCCATTTTGTTTGGAATGTGAAATCAAACCGGAAATGTTGAAATATGCAGCGTGGCTCTGACTCCTCACTCAACGGCATACCCACACCCCAACATCCGTTTATTTCCCTCCCTCTCATTTTGGCCACTTGCATTGTGTTGCGTTGTTGACTATTCGATTTTGACGTTGTTGGCTGGTGTCGACAGGCCTTGCTCTAAAGGCCACATTAAATGTCATCTGCCATGTGCCAGAGATTTGTCTTGATTTTAAATAAAATACGAAATTCGAGAAGCACTTGAAAAGTCACTTGACAAGCTTCGCTAAGCTTCCGGTTCTGTCTGTCTCTGTGTCTATGGGTGCGAGCGTGTGTGTTGTGGCCTCAAAGATTACCAAGAAATCGGCTCAGGATCTGGAAAATCGGCTCACTTGAAAAGTTTAAATACTAATACCAAAATTAAATTATGAACCATTCTCTTCAACTGAAAAACATTTCATTCAGCAAATTGAAAGCTTAGTCCACACAACAATGACTCATTTTCGACAGAAAATCAATCGGGCAAATGGAAACGTTGAAATAATCTCAAAACTGAGACAAAAGTGTTTCCAATGCATTGAATTTAAGATGATTTTAGTATAAGAAAACTCATGAAAAGCTTATTTATCATTGTCCATAGCTAGCTTATAAAGCAAAAGGAATTTATTCTAATTAATTTTAGGCTTCTCTCGCATTTCCATTATCATTCTTCATAATTATTTCGTTTTGAAACTTTATTCAGGCATAAAAATTCTTTATTATAGACACTGCCTAACCAGCTCGTTATTCAATTACCAAGTATTTTTTCCCCTTTTCCTGCTGACTTTTCTCCATCAAATGCACCAGTATCCTTCCAGCTTAGACTTCAATCCATCTAAGATTCTGACTTTGGCTTTTTCTCCCCTCTGCACAGGCAAACATAATTTCTTTTGGGAAGAAACACTTTCAACTTTCCATCGGGTCCATTGATCTGGCCTGCATCAAAAGTTGAACCTGACTTGGTAGTTCACTCTTTTTCACCCTGCGCCCTTTTTACTATTATAAACTGATTTATTGGTTCATTTTCAGGCGCCTGGGTAAAGGACTAAGTGCAGCTAGCAGTCAGTGAAAAGTCGAGGTGGAGTTGGGGAAAATCTGTGCCAGTGGCAAAGGGAAGACGAGTATACAAGGTAAATTAGATTTGGCACTGCCTTGATGATGATGCATGCGACAAGTGAGTTAAATTTTCAGTTCAGGTGAGAAGGCCTTAAGATGTATGTATGAGTGTGTGTGTGTGTGTGTGAGCTCAAAGGGGTTGCCAGAGGAGGGAGGTGTGCTGGAACAATAAGAGCAACAGACGGACGAACGTAACTTTAAGCCGATATCAAATCTTTCAATAATTAATATAGCACACCGGCAGCCCCAACCAACCCCACGACAGCCATTGGGAAAGGAGCTGGCTGGGCAAACAAACGCCGGCTCATAAATAAACACACAGAACGTTTCAGTTGGTAAAGTTTTCCATGCCGTGCACACACACTGCCGAAAATCCACACACTTACCACACCACACACTTACCAGTAGAGGGAAATTTACCAATGGCCAGATGAGAATATTTGGCAAAAGGAAACAATATATTGCGTAAAGTAAACAAAATAATATTTTTATTGCTGAAATCTAGTTGGAGAAGTTTCGGTGTTTGGGGATATTGATGATTAAAGGATCTATAAATTATGTTTTACTTAAAATCAATAAATATATTTGTTAAAAAATTGGATAATTTATTTATTTTGATTAGCATTACCAGCTAAAATAAAAGTTAAACGATTTTCTAAACCTTAATTAAGTTAACAATGAAAATATAAATTGAGCTACATATTATAAGGATATTTTTCTCGCTAATACCTGACTGGAGGTCCTTATATTGCTTGATAATTTGAAGCTTGTATTTTTCAAGAATTTTATATATTTCTATATTTTTCGAGAAATTAAAACTTACGTATCTCTATGATATAAAATAAATAATAATACATCTCCCTTTTTTTGCCAAGTGTTCAACTGCCACACATCAGCACGTGTTCATTTCCGGCTACAGCGTTTACCATGCATATCCTGCGCTGTATCCTTGGCCAGCCAACAAGGACTCTCCTTCTGTTTTCTACTGGCAGTCTGCTCTGTTGTTTGGCATCCTGTAAGCCTGTAGCTTTTCCAATGGCGGCGACGTCTGCCTAAGCCGTGCTCCACCGTCGATACAGGGACCGGCTTTCAGATTTAATTTTAATTAGGTGCTATTGAATTTATAAATTTTTCAGTTGCTGTCGCCGGTCCTGCGTCCTCAGCTCAGCTCCTCCTCGCCGCACACGGCAAACTTTCGCAGCCACGCAGGACGAAAGTTTGTGCGAGGGAAACGAATCCCTGCCGAAAGCCTGCCTGTTGCCTGACACTAATAACAATAATCGCAAATTGTATTTTCATGAATTTTCAACTTGTAATTACTAATATTTCAATATACATATACACACAAATACTACATAATCTATATATATATATATATATATATATATATATGTGTATACAGCAGGGCCCGCCCTCAATAGAAGCCAGAAACTGGGCGCATAATTAAAATTTGTTGTCCACGCGCGGTGGGGGCAAAAAGGGATGGGTTTTTTGGGGATTTACCTTTTACAATGAATAACAATGAACAATGTACATTAATTTTCCGTATTAATTGTTTATTTGCGCAGGCTGCATATTAAAATGTCTGCTAATCAATATAAAACCCCATTCGAAAGAGATTATATTCCGTAGGCTTTTCGTTTCAATTCTAAAGCCTTTGGGAATGGTTAGCTTAATTGAGTTTTAAATGCTCCTTAAAGTGGAAAATTTAAAGGAGGATTTACTGAAGGCGTAAGGGAATAACTACATTTTTGCTAATTGATTTAGCTTAACAAATTTATTTAACGATTACCTGGCATTTAATACTAATTAAAATCAATTTATCTTTTTGTAAATAAGTAATCAGGGTAAACAAAAATCTTAAAAGATGAATTATCTGAGCTGATATCAAGATAATTACACAAAATTATAATAATTTAGCTTATTAAATTCTTTACAAATTTAGGCGTTTCCCTCTCTTCCACTCTTACAAATAACTATTGTCTCTTCTCACAGCGCATTTCAAATTCGATAAACCTCCGGGCAAAAAGCATTTTCCGTTCCCATCAATGTTTACTTAACTTTTTCCCTTGTTTTCCATTGCAGTTAACACACACACACACTCGCACACCAAATATAAAACAACAAACCATGCAACAGCGCATCAATAGTATAAAATATGAACTGCAAACCTAAATAAATATTTATTATTTGCTGCATTCTAGTGGTTGTATGCACATTTTCGTTTTTTGTATGTAGGAAAGAGGAAATTTTAGCTTAATTGAATATCAATTCATTTTAAAATGCGCGCAATAATAGGGATGAAGTGGAGTTTGGCTGCAAAAAAGAAATCGAATGGCAGATGAGGCCGGGCCTTGGTCTCTATGATTTGATCGCAAAAGGTTATGGAATATTTATGGCGCAAATTATTAGCATACAAAATGCAATTGATGCCCTCCAGTGATTAATTAAAATGTTTCCGAGCGCACATAAATTTGTATTGTTTATTGCGGTCCCGCACAGACACAATGCACTCGTGTGAGTCCGCACACACACACTCACACGCACACACACACACACGCAGCGAGGTCAAGCGCCATTTTTGTGGTTCACTACACTCGGCGGATGACCCAAGTGGCCGTGTAGATTTTCCCATACCCTTGGTTTAGTTTTTAGTATTTTGGCAAGTGTTTTTTTGGTTTAATATTTTCGGCTCTAAAGGTCATTGAGAAGCCATTGAAAATGGGCTCAAAAAGCTAAATTATTTGTTATTATTTTTCTTCTATATGAGCAGTGATTTATTAGTGTTCAATGATCTATGTTTGCGGTTAATACAAGGCATTTAATTAGTAATTTTTAGCCCTAGTTGGCTAGATGAAAATGTATTGAATAAATAAATTGAGAAGTATTCTTTAGAATTTAAAGCTACAAAAAATTAAAAGCTGTTGAAAAAACTAGCTTAAAAATATAAGAACTATATTTTAAAAGGACAAAGAATTCTAAATTTATAAACAAGACTTAATACATACTAGAAATAATGACCCTTTAATAAATAAAAACAACATGCTGTCAATGCAGAACAATAGTTCTTCAATCCAGGTCAGTCCCGAGCCCATAAAATAGAAAATACAGCAGAAAAAACGAAAAGGATGCTCTGGCAAAACATAAATATCCTCTGAGCATAAAAAACCAAGCCGAGGAAGACGGGTCTATATATGTCCGCTCCCTTTCCGTCACAATGACATGGCAACTTGGCGAAACAAAGTGAGACGAAAAGTTTTCCAAAAAAGACAAATGACCCTTAAAGTTGAAACTAACAGTGACTAAATGGAGACAAGAGCAAAAAAAAATGTTGTGTTTGTGCCCAGGGTGGTGGGATCTGAACCAGGACTTAAATAGATGTGATAAAGGAGTGGTCGAAAACGAAAGCAGCTGAAGCAGCATGAAAATCTTTTAATTGCTGCCACCAGTAGCCAAGCAAGCGAAAGCCTTCCATTTGTCTTTTGGCCAACTGCTGACGTTGTTGGATCTGTGAGTAGTCCAAGCAGCGGAAAGGGACACCAGCTCCGATTAGGTTCGAAGGAGAAAGGGGGGAAAAAAAACGAGGAAATGGGGAAACAAAGCCTGGTCCGCGTGAAATTGCAAAACTGTTTCACCTGAATGCATGAGGCAATGTTACACAGCTGTTCTTTCCTTAGAACACAACTGAGACGAGACCTTTGGACAGTGAAGGATGTACAATCCCAACTGTTTGATGCAGCTTTGTCAAGGAACGGAGTGCTCTGCTATTTTTAAGCATATATAGAATATATTAATTTTTAAAGAAATTAGCCCAACATTTTAGTAAAAATTATATTTTATGTGAAACTTTGTAAATACTTCTATAACATTAAACCGTTTCCCTTTTTTTATTTAAAAAACATTTATTTTCACTTTATGTAGTTTGTATTTTATTATAAAAAATTCTAGCAACAACCGCAAATATAAAAGAATTTGTTAAATTAATTATCCAAGCCTTTTGTTTAAATAAACCAGAATTTACTTTGGATTTATCTCATTATAAAAGTTTATTGTCCAGAAATCAGTTGTGTTTACACGGTTTTTCTTTATTAAGCTCTCTTTTAATAGCCTTTTGTTTGATTTTCTCTTATTTT